GCCAATGAGCTCAAGATTAGCACGATGAAGCCATACTAAGCGGGATTTAGCTCTGACTGGATTCTGCTGGTTTTGACCACGGATATTCCAACGCCGATGCTAAGTCAAACCTCCCTGGAGTTGCACTCGAAGGCAGCGAGAGGAAACGCTCGCATCGAGACGAGAAAACACTCGCATCGAGACGGATCGGAAATCTCTGAGGTCCGGGTCCAGAAGATGTACTGGCCCAGTGTTGCTTGAAATGGTTCTGGCCCAAGTTGCTTCCTACCCCCACCCCCACGATTTCTAAGCGGGGGTGGGGATTCCCTCCGCTCAGGGGACTCACGAACGAAGTGACCGGAGGAGGAGGAGGGGGACGGGAAGGAGGAGGAGGAGGAGGAGGAGGAGGAGGGGGAGGAGGAGCGAGAACGGCCCAACAGCGAGAACCCCACCCGAACCCAAGCTGGTCTCGAATCTCAGCGTGTTGACTGTAAGGCCTCGCAAACATCGGACGACGCAGCGCTCGCACAGGCTGTCGAGACTCTGGTCGCGCACTTCGGCCGAGACTGTTCCACGTGCTGGCGCGCTCGAGCGACACCGCATCGGCCACGGACTGTCAGCTGGCCGCGCGGGACACGTCAGTCCATCTTCACCGGCCCCCTTCTCGAGGCCAGACATCGGACGTCGTGCATATTCCACGGCCTGGCTCGCCAGAGGTCTGCCCCATTTCCGGGGAACGGTCTTTCATGCTGAATCATTTTCTGGCGATCTCGGGTCCCGACCCCCGAGGCCGAAAACAGCCTCAAATCTTGACTCGCGCTTGTCCCCAATGCCATCAGGCAGTCAGACTGGACAGCCGCTGAAGCCACAGGGAAGATAAGGAAAGGATAAGGATGAGATCCGCAGGGTGCCAATAGCTTCTTGTAACGAGACCTGGACCCCTGGGTAGCACATGGATGCAGGCCCTGGTCCAAAGTTTCTCTTGTGCTGCCTGGAACGCACTCTACTCCGATTGCAGGGGGGTAGGGTTGCTCTAGCAAGGATACCCTGCTCAGAGGCGAGGGGGGAGAAACTGCAGGATGAAGGAGGTTGCCGCTGCTGCTAGGGGGCGGCCCCCCCCCCCTCAGGGAGCCGCCGCCGCTCCCCTCCAACTCCTCCACCCCCTCCACCCACTTCGAACCTTTCGCAGAGCGCAAAGACCGCAACGGGAAACAAACTCATATTTTGCAACGCGTCATTTTCCGACAGCCTGTGCGAATGCGGTGTCGGTCGACTGCCCGAAACAGGTGTCGGGCGTCACCTGGGACAACGTAGCCCCAAACCACTCCCTGGAAGCTGAGGTGTGCGGTGCCACCTGTGGCTGCGCAGCTCGCGCTATCAGACAGGCCGTGCCTCCCGCAATCGCGGGAAGAGCATTGAAGCGATCCCCTCTGATTGTTCAAGCAAAAGTGCTAAAGGTGTTATGTTGGAAAGCAACAATTCCAACGTGTATTCATATTCAAACTGCTGCGTACTTCACATGTGTTGGGAACTCGTGCTCAAGCCGCTACATGGTGCCCGTAAGTGTGTTCGTCGCTTGTCAGACAGAGTCCGACACTTGCTCGAAGCATCGGCCACATGTATATGTTGTGACGTGTTTTGTTTCGCGAACCAGCCCCCAAGCCTTGCACATGTCTTCGAATAGTATGTCAAGCATGTGTCGATGTATGGTAGATAAGCCTGGGCCCTGAGGTGCTAGTTTACTCTTAAGGGCCCATTCAATTGATCCCTGTTAAACTCTTCTGCCGACGCCACTTATCCCTACAAGTGTTCGATCTCCGTTGTGAGAAATTCGTTGGCAACTGGCGACGTATCCGGGACGTCTTGGCTCACATCCTCTACATACGCAACCTGCCCAGAGGAAAACGCATCCAATACATATATATATATACATACATATATATACGTATTGGAATGTGATAAATCCAACTTCATTGCAACTCGGCCTCATAAACTCCCAAGATATGTGTCTCCTGATTGGCTCCCACCATCCTCGTCTGTTACATGTTGACTCAGATGATTCACGGCTGCCTGCTCGCCGTTGGTGGCGACGTCCTCGTTGCTGATTTTCTTGCTTGCCAAAACTCAAATTTGGCTCGCAGGACATTTCATTTTGACTTCTAATCGTGTCTCGTATGTTTTTCGCTGCTACCGTCTGATCGGGTCCGCTCGATGCCGAATCCTGGCGGCGATCACGGCTTGCAGACGTGACCGCTGTATTCAGCAGCCATGGCGACTACCCAGTCCCCCCCGCCCCCGAGATCCTGTGGGGTCTTCTGGGACGCAAGACCTACCTTGGGCACGATACTGCAGTCCTTACAGCTGGACGGCAGCCTACCAAAAGGGAGGAGGAGGAGGAGCAGGAGAAGAGGAGGGAGGGAGGAGGGAGGAGGAGAGACAGATGAAGGAGAGACGGAGGAAGGAGAAGCAGGACAAAAGAGGGCTTCTGAGGTAGTGGAGGAGGAGGAGGGGAAGAGAGGGAAGGAGCGATTACAAGAGGATCCCCTGTGACTGCGCTGGAACCCCAGACCGCCGACACCACGATTCTTTATTTGGGGGGCGGAAGATACGGATACGTGTTGTCCCCGGACCTCTCTTGGGGTGCGTTCTGACCAGAATTTCGAAGCGAATCCAGCGGTGACAACGAGGATTCCCCAGGAGGACCAGGAAAGGCCGAAAACGAAGGGGGACAACACGTATCCGTATCTTTTTCTCCCCCGATTTATGACGTGGACCCCGAGAAGTCTAGACCCGTTCACTGGGGCGTGCTTTTCATCCCGAGTCGTGCTGCTGACGGCCCCGGGGCCCTGCGAGGGTCTGCGGGGGTCGGCACCTGTCCAGAATCCTCCGATACGTTTTTTGTCTCGCGGGACGCGATGGGGACCGGGATTGTTTCACGACGCTGAGGTAGGAAGGCACCAACTATACACCAACACCGATCCTGGCCAGGATCACCCTGGGCCCAGGATCAGTGTATACGCCCTCCTGCCTTGCGCAAGAAGGCATATACACCGATCCTGGGCCCAGGGCGATCCTGGGCCAGGATCGGTGTTGGTGTATAGTTGGTGCCCTCCGATGAGGTACCAGCACCTGGCCCCTGAGAGCTTGGCGATGTTTCTCCAATCTCCTTGTGGGAACGAAGCCCGAGAAACTCGGGTCGGGCGAAAGGGGGGGATAGCAAAGGGGGGGTTTGAGCATCAGCTCACGTAGCTGACTTTCCCGGCGCCTCCCGGCGCCAGAGGCGACTATGTATCGAGGAATGGGCCCCTCGGCGGGGCCGAAACCAGCTGCATGCAACAAATTTCGTAACCCCCCCTTTCCCAATCCCCCCCTTTCGTCCGGCCCGATCCTTGTGGGAACGAAGCCCGAGAAACCAAGATGAATCACCATAGTCACATCGGCAGTCCACGCAACACGAGTCGGAGGAAGTCCAGGGATACCGGAGGCAGCTCTGGAGAGATCGACGACCCTCCAGTGCGAGGCGGGGGGCAGCAGAAGTCCAAACGATCTGGAGGGGGAGGAAGAGGGGGTGGTGGGGGAGAAAGAGGAGGAGGAGGAGGAGGAGGGAGAGGAGGAGGAGGAGGAGGAGGAGGAGGAGGAGGAAGGAGGAGGAGGAGGAGGAGGAGGAGGAGGAGGAGGGGGGGGGGGAGGAGGAGGAGGAGGAGGAGGAGGGGGGAGGAGGAGGGAGGAGGGAGGAGGAGGAGGAGGAGGGGAGGGAGGAGGAGGAGGAGGAGGAGGAGGAGGACGGAGGAGGAGGGGAGAGCGACGAGGAGGAGGAGGGGGAGGAGGAGGAGGCGCAGGGAGGAGGCGGAGAGGAAGGCCCCCCCCACGAGCCAGCCCCGGGCCCGCGCGCGCTCCTCGCGCTCCGCGGAGAAGGCCCGGGAGACGGGCGCGCCGAGGTCGAACACCGAGATCTCCGGGTAGAGCGTCAGGCAGAAGTCCTCCGGGGTGCCGCCGTCAGCTTTGGACGCCCGACATGGGTACCGAAGGAATGGGTACCATGCCCAACAGCAAATGTTGTCCCGAACCAACAGCGGCCGCTGTTGGGGGGGCGGCCTCCTGCCTCGAATGGACACAGGCCGCGGCGGCGCGGACAGCGAATCCTGCTCAAAATGAACAGGAACTGCTGTTGGGCATCGTACCCATTCTTTCGGTACCCATTTCGGGCGTCCAGATCAGCGCGCGAGCGAGGCACCGTCGGCCGCCCGGCTCTCTGCGCAGGGCGGGGGCGAAGAGTCGAGCTGCCGGGAAAAGCGCAACTACTTGCCAGCCTCGGAGTTATCCCTATGCCTGAGATTGGCACGCCAAAAGGCGATGGCAACCTTAGGGATTCGCCCTCAAAAAGTAAGGGAATCCCTAAGATTGGCATCGTGATGAGGAGCTGCCCAGCATAGGGATAGGGAAATGTTCCAGGCTGGTAAAACTACTGTGGAAGACGAATCGGACTAGGAGTATACGGCGGAATTCACGCGCCCTCAAACCTGGAGGAGGGGGAAAGGGGGGGAGGCAGAAGGGGGCCACCCAGAAGAGATCGAAACGCGGCTCGGTATGAAACTTCAGCACGTCCTCCAGAGGCAGCTCCTGAGGAGCCTTCGTAAGAACGATTCGGGGCCAGTGAACGATTACAAAGCTATGCTATCAAATTAACCCAGATTGCGCCGGGGATTAGGCTGGGTTGAGCGTAATTCGGCGCATTTTGCGAGAGTAGGCCTGTTTTCACCACAGATAGACCAGCGCCGATGATGACTTTAACCTCCCAGGAACTGCATCCCACCTCCCCCCTTCATCCTCGTCATCATCACATGGAAGGATGGTCGATGATGTACAATCATGCCTTTGCGTGGTTCACATGCTCTGCAAACTTTCGAACGCTTGGGGCTTTTCGGCCCCTGCGGCACGATCATGCCTTGCAAGCTGACAGCGTGCCGCTCTGCGTCGTGGGACGGGAGGCTGGAAACATCTCGGAACTCAAGAGAGACAGTAGCACCACTACCACCAGCTCGGTGTGGTGGCCACTCTCTCCCCTCGAGCTGGTGGCACCTCCTTCCAGGAACTTTCTGGAGGCATGCCTGGAACGAGGTGCCACCAGCTCGAAGAAGGTGGGACAGCCACCCCCCTAGCTGGTGGTAGTGGTACTACTGTTAGTGTCTCTGGTAAGGAACGCTGCGGCGTGTGGCGACTGGGACGTGCTCAGCATGTCGCACCGAGGCGCGGTGGAGCGGTGGACCAGGAACGGCGGCGCGATGCGCGAAGCAAACGTTTCTGACCGTAGAGAGGCGGAGGGAGGGGGGGCGGGTCAGCAAGTCGGACCAGAGAGGAGCCCGCGGGGCGAGAGGTTGGGATGCCACCCCTGCGGAAAATTGAATTCAAGGTCGGCGCTGGTATTGCAGTGGAGGCCAGTCCACAAGAAACCTTCTACCAGAAACCCAACCCTGAGACCCCAGGAAGCATCGAAGCCCCAGAAGCCAGGGGCACCCTCGAAGCCAGCAGGGTGTTCCTTGGCACGGGTCGCTTCTGCATACGCGGTCGAAAAAAAACATCCAACACACTCCCGTACCATTCCGCTGAGTCCCGCTGAATCCTGAGCTGAACCTCGCTTCGTGGCAACATAATCGAGCTTGATATCCTTTGATCGTTGTCATAAAAACCTTCCTGGAGGGAACTCATAGGAACGAAGAGCGCCGAGACGGGGGAGAGGGAGTGCAGGATGAAGTGTAGAGGAAGGGTGACGAGGTGTGCGACGAGAAAAAGCGTAATGTTGCGTCCTCGGGGGACCTTGTGTGCCCCATCGCGGCCCTGTGCGCGTCGAGTCCGTGCCGAAACCATGTCGGACTCGTCGGATCCGTGTCGGATCCGCGTCAAAGCCGCGACGAAACCACGCAAAATCCACGTCGAGCCCGCGTCGGGCACAAAAGAGGACACCAACTTTGGGGACTGGCGAGGTCCCACGAAGATGCAACGCGAGGAATGGAAAGGGGGGGCCCATAAGGAGGCGAGGAGGCAGGAGTAGGCGGGCGGGGAGGATGAACGGGAGGAGGAGGAGGAGGAGGAGAAGGAACAGGAGGAGGAGGAGGAGGAGGACGAGGAGGAGGGGGTGGGGAGAAGGAGGAGGAGGAGAAGGAGGAGGAAGGAGGAGGAGGATGAAGAGGAGGAGGAGGATGAAGAGGAGGAGGAGGAGGTGAGGAGTCGGCTGGGGCGGGGCGGCGACGGGAAGGGAATGCAGAGCGGCAGAGGGAGGAGGGATGGGAGGAGGGCCTGCACTGCACGGCGAACGAGGCAACAGGAAAAAGATACGCTATAGTTAGGTCGGGCATGTCCTCCCATAGGCAGATGGCGCAAGACAAGTAAAAAGAGTCAAATAATAATCAAAAAGCAAAAATCGCAAACCATCCTCACGATACGATTTTCTACGATGATAAAGTATTCCTCCTGTACAGGAACAAGCTCGACATGACGCGGGAAACGGCCCCCGCGCGGTGGGCGGCGCGGGGGCGGCAGACGCCGCTGCGAGAGAGGCAGAGGCGGTAGAGGAACGGAGAAGGCGAGGGGGGCAAGATGACAGGAAAGAGGCGAACGACAAGGATGAGTTCGGTCACTCGCTCGCGCCCATTCAAAGTCTCTCCTTAGTTGAATAAGACAAGGGAGGACCGGTGACAGGAAGGATGCGAAAGATCAGGAGGAGCTCGCTCGCTCGCTCTCGCCTCTTAAATTCCCTCCTCTATTAGACTACAGAGTTTGTAATCTTCGTAGACCACGTTTTAAGAACACCCTGCGGCTTACACAGGGCCAGCAGATGGACAAGCCGTTACGTAGGTCGCTTCACGGGAGGGTGGCCGCTGGCCAACTTCGGGCCGACACAAGAGGAGGAGGGGGATAATTAGCCAAGGGTTGCCCCAAGCTGACTCTGTCAGACCACGCTACTTCGGGGGCTCACTTAAGAGGTTGCCCTTCAGAGAGACGCTGGAGGACCCAAGCCCCCATCTTGGTGGGCGGTTCGCCTCTCGCACGCTTGCGCTCGTTCGCCGGGCCCCTGAGGTGACCACTACCCCCTCTCGCCCTGCAGCCACCCATGGTGCGCGCCCAATACGGACCATTGAAGGCCATGGTGTGCGAGTAATGGGCAACGCGCGATCCGACGGCCACGAGCACTCTTGCGGGCCGGGGGAGGGGCGGGCCAGGGCACGGGAAAGAAAGCCGAAACTCGAGCACCCGATGGCACGAGGACTTGGACACGCCACTGCGATTACCAAGACACCTAGAACGAATTTTAGTATCCGCGATAGAATGTGAGGAACCCGCCTGCGCGGGTCCGTCCGGCAATTCTCTGGGTCTCCGGTCTGGTCCGTCCGGCAATTCTCTGGGTCCTGGTCCTTCTGGCAATTCTCTGGGTCCTTCCCGCAATTCTCTGGGTCTCTCGCGCCGTCGGCGGGCAGCCCTCCTGCTCGAAGGCGCGCGGGGTGGTTCTCGCAGCGAGGAGCAGTGCCAGCCGCAGCGCTTTCGCCACCCATTCATAGCAAGAAGAACGAGAGGACTGGATGGCATGGGTGGCGGCGGCAGCGGCAGCAGGATCGTCGGCAATCTGATTTAGGGGAAAACAAACCTACCTCGCTTTTGACCACCCTCGCTTCCAAGAGATACCAAACGATGCCAAAATACGGCCTGTACTGGTCAGGCCGCTTGAAGAGGAGGCGCGTGGTATGACTTGGTTTTGCCTGGAAGCGAAAGCGGGGTAGGTAATTCACGCTCTGATGATTGCCAATGCAAGCCAACTGGGGAACTCCTCTGGCCATAGACTACCCTGGGAACAGATGGCTGTTCAGATAACGCAATGTCGCGCTGGCCTCGACGCGCTCACCTATCTCAGCTCCGAGCGACCCCAACGATCTCCATTCGCACTCCAGACTGCAGGCCTCGAATGACGGCCTGTATTGTGCAACCTCGAAACAATGTGCCGCTATCAATCCAAAGGTCAACATCACCTGCCGTGCAACGCTGCGCAGAAATCAAACTGGACATCTCAGCACGATTGTTTGACTGGCGATGGCCCGCAAGCGGAGAGCGCGCGCCGCATATCAAGACAGGGCGCTCGGCCGTGCCCCGCAGCAGGCACCGGCCCCAGCCGCGGCGGCGGAGGCGCGCGTCAGCCGCCTCCTCGCCGCCATCGCCGTCGCCGCAGGCGAGAACGCGGGCGCCCGTCGGCGCGAGCCTGATAGGCCCCGCAGCTCCGAGGGTGGCCAGCTTCTCGACCGCGTCGCGCGGTGGTGGCGTCGCCCACGCTCTCGGGGCCATGCCCCTCAGCCAGGTGGCGGGGCTGTCGAGGTGGTCGCTCTCCGCCTATGGCCGCAGCCACTCCGTCCTCTCGGAGTCCTCGCGCTGTGGGCGCTGCGGGCAGTCGCCCCAGATGCGGCGGCGGTCAGCGGCGGCCGCGCCGCAGCTGCAGGGGCCCGAGCCTCCTCTCTCCTCGCCGAGGACCTCCTTCTTGAGGGCCGCCGCCCACGTGGCCGCCGTCATCGCCTGGGGCAAAGCGTTGGGCATGTCTTGCTTCTGCTTCCTGCGCTTCTTCAGGGCGAGGGCCGCATCGCACAAGTCCACCCCCTGCCCCAGTCCAGCTCCGTCTTGCCCCCCTGCAACTCTGGCCCAGAGCCGCGCGGAGATGTCCGAAGGCACCGCGTCGATCACGTCTGCTTAGTCACTCTTCTCCGCGCCCGCGGCAAGCGCCTGATCGTCGCCCCCGGGGCCCATCCATGAGGTCGGAGAGCGTGGCGTTCATCCAGCACCCCATGGCGCGAGCGCCAGCGAGGCCCCCCCCCCGCCGTCGCCGCCATCGATGCTGCGCGGGCACTTTCAGCAGCTGGGCGTGGATCAACTGCCACGCCTTCGCCGCCATATGGCGGATGTCCTCGCGGCGAGCGTAGAGGCCAAACCACGCTCGCAATTGCATCTTCGGCACCTCCAGCGCGGGGCCCGTGCCATGCGGCGCCAGGCAGGCGGTCGGGCATCGCCCCGCCCTCGGCGCCGGCGCGACCAGCGCGGCAATGCAGCGGCGCCTCAACGCCGCGATTGCCGTCGGCGGCTCGCCGCGGGCGCGAGCGTGGCCCAGGGAGGACATGGCCCCCCTGGCGCAGGAGGGCAGCCCGTCGCCCTCTGCGCAACTTGCGCAGCTTCGCGCCGATCGATATCATCCGGCCGTGGGCCTTCTCGCGCCTGCCCATATGGGTGGCGCGGCGCCTGGCCCTGGCAGCAGCTCCAACGACTCTGGGCCCCCGCCCTTCCTACGCCGCCTGAAGGGAGAGGCCCCGCTTCTTCAGCTTGGTCACCATTCGCCTGGTCAACGACAGGTCCGATGGGGACATGGCGCTCTTGTCTGCCAGCCGGAAGCCCTCCTTTTCGAGGGGGTCGCCCAGCGCCAGCATGGCCGCGGGCATGGCCGCCTCCACAGAAGGATGCGCTGCCATCGCCAAACCAAGCTCGAGGGGAACCACGGGGCGAGGGAGCGACAATGCTCTCCAGCGCGCGGCGCGCAACTGCCCCGCCAAAGTAATAACATGGCGGGAGCCTGCCAACAATGGCCTCTCGGCCAGGCATGGCTCCCCGCACGCGCCCTCCAACCTCACAGTCCTGCCGACGGCGAGCGCGGGCAGGGTCGCGCTACTCGCGCGCCGAGGCACCTGCCGGCAGGGAGTGCGAGTCGTGGAATCTCTCGACGCCTGCCAACCCCATGCCCGTCGCAATGCCCCGCGCCCACGCGGCCACGCCCTGGGGCCCCCTCGCGAGCGCCGCCGCGGAGGCAGGAAGGGCCCATGAGCGCCGCGCCCCAGTGGCGCGCCACGCCCTGAACCCATTCCTCAACCCCAGGGCGGGCGTGGAGCTGCCAGGCACGTGCCGACCAGAATAGAAGGGCGATCGCACGGTCACCCTTGGCCTTTGGCTCCAGCATCACTATGACCTGCAGGATCTTGCGAGGCCATGCAATATCCTGCTT